GCTTGATAACATCTAATTTTTAAGGGAGTGCAGGGATGGACGTCTGCTTCTTGAATACAAAGATCACTTTGTCTACATTCAGTGAGTGGAACTTCTCAACTGTACTCAACTTAGTCCTCAAGTTACCAATTCAAACACTCGGCCTACAATACAGAACCTATTTTTTACACAATAAAAGCCAGGATCCAACATAACTACATCAATTTGATGTCAGTTCTTAGGATCTCTGCCCTATCAGATCAGTCCAAACTCCTCAACCAACCACTCCAAACCATTCACTCTGGGTCTGCCTTGTCCCATGTCACTAATACAAACCATCTTCTCATTCGAGACTCTGTTGCTTTGGTTGAGCGTTCTACACACCTGCCTCTGTCCCGGCAACCAGCTAACGCTGTGCTCTCCCCCCTCAGGAGTGAGCACACCTCCTGCACTTGCTGTCCAGCGCTCCTCCTCTTTTCTGAGAAGGGCACAGTCCTTTTAGGAAACTTTTCTTCTTCCCCACCCTAGCTATGTAGCTCTAGATGGGGCTGCCAATTACCAGTTAGTTTGTGTCCCTTGTCACAAGGACAAGGCTGTCATCCAAGCAAGGCCAACCAGAACCATTCCTGGGATTTTGAGATTTAGGTGGAGGGAAGAAGGTCGGGCCCTCTTTCTGAGAGGTCCTTGGCTTACTGGCAGCCACACCCCCAGCCATGCAGAGGAAACCAACAAGGAGGAGCAGAGATTAGAGACCGAGTCTTGATGGTACAGGAGTCTTCACTTTGGGCTTCCCTGAGGCTCACCTCACTTCTCCCGTACACTGGCCATGTGGTCCAATAAGTACCCCTCTATGCAGTTTCATTTCTATAATTTACAACCACAGGAATCCCAATACAATCCCCACCATGATTCCAGAAGCCTGTGATGACAGTGACCTCTACCTTTTTGCTTTCTTGTACTTCCTTTCTGTACAAATAACACTAAATCACTTGTCCTGATTTTTCATGTGTCAAATATATATCAGTTGCCATCTTTTGTGGCCCTGCAGACATATTTCACACACCTTTAGAAGCCCCCGCCCAGCAGTCCCTAGAATAGTGCTAATAGAGACTCAGCCTACAAATAACAATTATCATGAATTGATTATTACTTCCATGTTAAGCACTTCATATCTGTTATTTTAGTTAAGCCTCACGGAAACTCCCTGGGATGGGCATTATTATCTCCACTTAAAGGAAGCTAAGGTTCATCAAAGGAAAATCACTTGTCCAAAGTCACACATTTACTAAATGGTAGAGCAGGGATTTGAACCAGATTTGCACACCAATTGCATTCTCTTTCCACTATGCCCATGTTGCCTCCCATAATAATACTTGTTACTTAATTTACCAGAGGGGACAACTGGTCTAAGACCTCCACTGAACCCCTGACTTTCCACTAATCACAAAGTGTATTTTCCTCCATCATTAAAAATAATATTAATATGATAATGCATCAATAAATGAGTTCTATGAAAATAAGTATGCTGAAAAAAGTTATAATACAACTTCTCCAAAATTGCTACTGGCATACTGAAGACTAAACACTGGCATTTCTCTTAAAGTAATAGGTAGAAGGAATGAATATTTAAGACCACTCTGTCAGAACAAGTTGTGTACAACTCCCCTGGCCATGATATTTCAAAACAGCAAAAAGAGATTTGTGAGCACCTGTCAATGTGTGACATGCCTCCAGTGCTTGGACTGCTCAGAGGAATACGCCTATGTCATCATTAGACACTAATCATTACTGAGCACTCCCATGGTTTGGAGGCAAGAAGAGAAGGCCTTTAGGAAGAAAATGGTTCCATCTTCATAGCTTAGCAAGGAGAGAGGTCAGGAGGAGGGTAATGACAATTTACTAGTGGAACCCTGAAAGTCACCCATTCTTATCTTTACATAAAATCCTAAAATGCACCCTGCAGCCAACCTTCTCAATTCTATGCTTGCGTCTCCAATGCCTGCTGGACATGTCCACATGGAGCTCCTTGAGAGAAAATTAACTGAGACAACAGTATATTTTCAGCATCTAGCCAAATATCTTCCATTGAATTGTCCTAAAAATGTGTTAGTGGTGGTTGTCTGCTTTTTTTTTTCTTTTCCTTTCTCAGTTTTATCTCTTCACTTGAGGCCTTTATAACATGTAGGCACTCTTCTGGGATTATAATACTTGTTCCTAGAAGGCCAGTAGACAACAGAGGCATGTCTCTCATCTATAATTTGACAACAGCACAGCCAAGGGGAGGGTATGCTTGGCACATAATGAAGAATAGTTGCATCTTCTGGTGGGACAGGCTTTTGCTAATCACATGCTTTGGTGAAAGACAGGCCCTAAAAAATTACATCGTGGTCACAGACTCAAGAATACCTCAAATGAGATCATACCGTGTACGAGTATAAAGTACGAAAGTACTTTATAAACTATGAACAGCCAAGGGACTGTGCACTCCTTCTGTTACGGATGCGGCTAGTACAGAAAAGGCACAGATAGCTCTATGGTTTGAAAGAACTAACTAGGTCTGGATAGAAGGGATCTTTAGTAACAAGAAGGTAAAAAGAAAGAGACACCTTCCAGAGGATACAACAGAAAGCTTAGGCGACAAAGGGGATGTGGTGGGGTGGTGTTCCAAGTCTGCAAACTCCCACTCAATTCAACAAATACTTATGAATGTCAGGCACTGATCTAGGTGTTGGGATACATAGCCAAAGATAAGCGATCCTAACAGAGTCAAAGATCCCAGCCCTTCATGGAGCTTTCTATTCTTGTTCAAGGAGACAGTCAACAAACATACACATAACAAATAAGTAAATTGTAATATGTTAGAGGATAAGTGTAGGAGAGCAGGGTAAGGAGGATGGAAAGTGCAAGTGGAGGGTTTGCAACACTTTGAGCTTACAAGATTAAGCCAAAGAGCAGAACACGGTCAGATTGCCAATGACGTTCCTCAAAAACTACATTCAATTGCAGGAAAGATGAGGAAAATCATACTGCGCTTGAATGAAAATTGCATAAAATTTGACAACTCCAAATTGCCTAGGAATATACAGCTTGTTTTCCATATTTCTTCTCCTTCGCCCTTTTCAAAATTATCGACACAAATGTGTTACATAGCATATTTACAGAGGAAGATATGAAAAGACTTAGCCAGAGGCACACCAAAGGGAATTACAGGAGATAAAAGCCAAACAGATAGCAACAAAAATAGTTGCAGACCAGGACTTCGGGAAGGAGCTAATTGAACAGGACTTTAAATATGACTCAATTTGTTTCTTAGGCAAAGTTGGCTCTAGGTCAAGGATGGTATATAGGCTTCATTTCTAGTAACAACCCCAAATGACCAGCAGAGTCTCTCTGGAGCACTGCAGTGATAAAAAGAGTTCGAGGTCCTGTGGGAAATTAATTTGACATTTCTTCCACGGGCTCAAGGTAGGGCAGTGAGGGCACCCAAACCCCACATTTACGTTTCCTTTCCCAGGTAGATATTAGTGTTTTAAATATATATACAGAGGGTGCCAAAAAAATGTATACACATTTTAAGAAAGGGAAAATATAATAAACTGTAATACTCAATATATACTGATAACAAAAGATGAATACAAGTCACCTTTGGCTTCTGCAATTACAAGAGGTGCTCAAAGTGGTTACCATCAGCATCCAAACACTTCTGATTACGGCAAACTACTGCTTGAGCAACGCTGACCAGTGTCCACCTGTATATGTTTTTTTGGCACCCCCAGTAAATGTATATATTTCACTGGCCACCTACTAAGTGAAAGGCAACACCAAAAACAGTGGAGGATTTGGAAGTATGGAAGTATAGGGCTTCGTCCAGGTGCTAATAGAGTTTATAATCTATCAATAGTTGGGAAGAAAGACAAATGTATGAAAGCTAATACTAGATGGCAGCAAATGACTAAGCTTCTAAAATTTCAGAACAGGGATTCAGATGCCAAGAAAATGCCACCGAGAAGACAGCCAAGAAAGGCTTAATGAAGGCCACAGGCTCTGAACTGGGCTTTGAAGAATGCACATCACTGAGATAACTGGAAAGACGAAGGGCTATTCCCAGCAGAGCTGGAGAAAAAGGAATCAGTAGGGTGTGGCTTAGGGATGAGGAACAACAGATCAATAAGGCAGCCAGAGCAGAGGATCTTCACAGGGTATCGGATCACAGATGTTGCAAGTATTACTCCAGAGAAACAGAACCAATAGGACACCATATATATATATATATATACATATACACACACACACACACACACACACACATTCACATGGTATATATATATGACAGACTGAAATATTAATTTATTATAAGGAATCTGCTCATGCAATTATGAAGGCTTAGAAGTTCCAAGATCTGCAGTCAGCAAGCACAAAAGCAAGAGAACCTACAGTATCATTCAAGTTCAAGTCCAAGTTTGAGTGCAAAAGCAGAGAAGATCAATGTTGTAGTGCAAAGATAGGCAAAGAGAGCGAATTCTCCCTTACTCAGACTTTTTGTTCAATTCAGGTCTTTAACAGATAGAATGAGGACCGCCCACAATAGGAAAGGCAGTCTGTTTTATTCAGTCTACAGATTCAAATGTTCATCTCACCCAGAAATGCTCTCACACAGACTCAGAATAACGTTGACCAAATAGTTGGGTACCCCATGGCCCAGTCAAGTCAGCACATAAAATTAACCATCACGCCTTGAGCTGAGTCAATACCCAGCAGGCAACAAGGACCATGATCAGTGACATAGGCAAAGCTGTACTTTATAAAATCAAACTCACTGAAAATGGACTAGAGAAAGAAAAACTGGGACCAGAAACGAGATAAAAAATATATATTGTAGTTGCCTAGGTGATCATAAGAGGCATTTCATCAACACATATGTATAGGATTCTACGCAATATAAGGTACTATGCTAGGTGACGCAGAGTTACTCTCATCGCTCTGTAGTTTAATCTGATATCAGGTTCCAAATGTAGACTTACCCAGCAGGAACTGGAGAAGCAAGCCTGGGATTCCAAAGGTCAGCAGTGACGATTCTGATACAGAAGTTATCCACGTAGGGAAGAGAGCCAAGTGGCGAGTTTGCTCTTGGCATGTCTATACTGACACAAGCTTGGAAGACAACAAGTTGAGTCAGTCTGGCTTGAGGCAGGAAGCCTCTCAGGGAGCCTCATCAAGCCTACTTGTGTGATTCACTGTGAAGGAATGACCACTCCTCAGTGACAAACTAACCCTAAAACAAGAGGTAGGATTACTTTAAGGGGGAAAAGGTAGGCAGCAACACAATTGGTCCACAGAAACACAAGTTACAAGCTGCTTTTCAGGGTCCATGCAGTAACACAGTGTAGAAGTACAAGGAAGAGATTCAGAGAACATCAAACTTAATCAACCTGATAAGAAATTAGTAAGTTTGTAACATTACTCAGATAAATAGGTAGTCCGGTGTTTCCTGAAGCAAATCAAGTTCAGTGAAAGTCCCATTGTCAGATTTTCCATATGCCTTTAAACTACTTCATCATGCTTAAAATAGAAAGAAATGTAAACATTTTGTAACATACACAAGAGAGATTTAAAAATACTCAACTCATCAAAAAAGTGACTTCATGTTAGAGAATAGGCAATAATCAGGAATAATACATTAGACATGTATCTTCCCACGAAAAGATCAAAATACAAGTATATACAAACTATCAATTTCCCGTGTCCTAAGAAAATTTATTATACAAAAAAATATCAAGAAACATTTTTCCTAATGAAATATGGACAGACATCATTTCATTTTGAGGGTGCACAAAGTATTCATGCTAAATGACCTACCAAAGATCATATTTTTAAAATACAGCTTATATCACTATATACTCACGCACAAGTAAATGTGTATATATACATATAGGGTGTGTATATATGCGTATGTGTGTACAGAGATTTATATTTTTTTCTATGTTCATTCTGATACATTATAAAGAAAATCAACCTAAAATAAATGAACTTCAAGTACAAGTTCCATGAACACAAAACAGAAGACATGAATTTTGAGGAATGAAACATAATCCTTTAATTGAATGGTTATTAACAGAGCTTAGGTTCAATGAAAATATCAATCAACTCTTACAGATGGTCAATAAAAACTGTGCCACAGGAATTCCTGAAGTGTTTCTGCTTCAATGAGCCTGAGTCATGAAATTTAGCCAAAGTATCTTATTTCACATTTTCCACACACAGAAGAGTAAAATCAGTTCCTGGCCCTTTCTACAAACCTGAAGATCTTAAAATTTGACCCATTACTACTATTTCAACAGAGGTAAATTTCAAAAATACAAGAAGGGGAGCTAAAAAACACTCACTCTGCTTTCTGCAAAGCTTAGTGGATTCTCTGAACTCCTTAATGGCATGCCCTAGAATAATGTTAAGAAAATGTGGTTTTTTTCTAAATATGCTCCATAAAAGCTAATTAGCAGCTTGTCCAAAAACAGCAGGTATTTTTATAGCTATTACCCATTACTATCTCCTCTTGGGAAAAAATTAAAACCAAAGAGAGCCTAAAATGTGAGGAAATGAGGTGACACCTCCCTAAAAACTCAGAGCCTTTTGCTACTATGATCTCGTTTCAGTGTCTGGTCATGTATTAATATTTCTATCTTTAGTATTATACAGTCAGAAAAAAAAAGGTATTAATGTAATTTGAAATGGAGACAGACTATTAGAGGAAGTGTAAATCAGAGAAATTTAATATTTTCATATCCCTGTTTCACAGAACTTTCCTACAGAAAACGCTCACACAAGAGTGCTTTAAGGATGTTCTCTAAAGCACTGCTCTTAATATGGAAAAACGGGAAGCAATCCAAATTTCCAACAATAGGAAATTGTTTAAATAACCTGTGATGCAATACTATCAGCCAAGATGTGCCGTATGTATGGTATTGGAAACACTTTCAAAGTACAGTAAGTTAAAACCAAAACCAAGTTGAAAGTTGTTAACCCCAGTTGTTAACAATCACAATAGTAGTAAATATCTTTTATATTATATAGAGAGAAATCTGGGGATAAAAAACATTTATGTATTTATAGCAGTTTCTCCAGAAAATTAAATTACAGCGTACTTTAACTTTCAGAATTACATATTCCTATAATGTTTAAATGTTGAATAATATGTATTATGTATATAATCAGAAAAAATAAAGTTTTAAGTTAGCGATATAATTGGAGGGGAAGTAGGAGAGATCTTATGTATAAAGAAAAGGGAAAACTTAGTATGTTAGAACTTTTCTATAATAGATCTAAAATGTCATCTATCTTTACTAATTTTTTTGAAGACAGATATATATATTTATTCTAGAACTTCAAAATTAAGCATCGCACGTAGATATTGGAAAAGTCCCCTTAGCATCTCCAGTTAGTCATAGCTTCTCAGGATCAAAGTTTAGCCCAAATTCCAGTATTTACTGAATTTAATTGAGCAACACTGTCAATTCCTAAAAAGCTGGAGACAAAATGCATAAGTGTCTCTAATTCTAATTAAAAGTTTTTACAGAATTAACCAAAAAATTATGGAGCCTGCAGACTCTAAATATATCTGAAGCATTTTCACACTGGAAATAGAGGAATTTTGAAACCACAGTCCTGTAACCCTTTCGAACATTGTAAAAACTAGATAGAAGAAGTGAGAATTGCCTAGAAAGGTAACTGAGGAATCACAAGCTTGGGGAAAATTTTAACCTGCCTGAGGAGGGGTGTGAACTTGTGCTGGAGGAGGTTTGTCTTTACAGTCATGTGCCCTTGACAAAATATTTAAACTCCTACACCTTAATTTCCTCACCTACAAAATGAAATAACCTGGAGTAAACAATCTCTGTGATCCCTTTCAGCTCTAAAATCCTGAAAACAGACCTTTACTCTGTCTTTGCTAAAGGATTTTTTAAAAAGGATATACATGTACATAATATAAAATGTAGCATATAAAGTTATAAGATACTAGCCCCAAACTGCAGACCCCTGCCTGGCTCCTCTTCACCCTGAGTTCCAGTCCCCCAAAAAAGATTTTTTAACTCTTCAAGAAGTTTCTTCTAATAGTTACTTCCATATTTGTAAATCACACACTTATATTGCTATTTCCCGATTTTTCTCAATTTTAGACATTACAAAAAGTTCTTTATCCAATCTTTTAGGGGCATTTATTCACCTAACCCACCCATCTCTCCAGGTACAGCCACACTGTTGAGATGCAAAGAACATGAATGCTACATACACATATAGATGTATACATATTTATATATAGTCCTATCTCCAATTATGGGCTGTCTGGTTAATAAGCAAATAGATTCCATTTTTCATCCAACCACTTCACAAAATGTAGCAGGGGAAAAAAAATTAAAATATGGCCTCTAAATCAGAAATCCTAAATTTGGGTCTGAGTCCTCCACCTACAGGAGCCAAATATATACACAAGTTTCTTATTTTCTCTGAATCTCCTCTATTTTCCTCTTGTGCAATCTGAATATAATAGCACCCACTGCAAAATGGTTGAATCACGAAGCACAAATATGGGACGTGTTGAAGCCCTTTGTCAATCATAAAGCACTGCAGATATGTTACTTTCCATTATTTCTGTTTTCTTTTTTTTGTTGTTTCATTGTTTTGTACACCTGAATGTTACTTTCCATTATTATCTTTACTAAGAAAGCCCCATAGATGAAGTCCCTGAAGTGACTGGTCACTCTTGAGCACTGTTCCCGACCTCGGCTAACAACTAGGAGCTGGAAGTTGCAGAGAGTAAGAGTGAAGTAGATGTAAATTGTGTTCCAAGGCCAGAATCCGAGGGTCAGCTCTTCAAAGGGCCTGTGTGTTGCCCTATGAGACAAATGTACACAATAAAGATCAAGCATCTAAGCAGGGACCCGAGAAAGCAACAGTAGTTTATATTTGCACAGGGTAGAAGCTTCCTTCTCAAATTTTCTTTTAAGAGTAATATAAGAACATAAGTTGAAAGATAACTCATCAGGCAACTTATTTGTCTCTAAGATATACCTCTATATTTCCACATGGTTTGTTTGTACATCTGCTTCTTGATTTGTAGACATTATCTATTGACTTCCTAAGATGGTAGAAAGAACTTCGCAGAGAAAGTGTTTTGACTGGAACTGGTCGGGGGGAGGCGGGGGGGGGGCGCATGGATCATGAAGAACTGTCCAGCAATGCATTATTCTGAATCTGTAGTAAAACGATCCTTTTATTTCCAGTCTTCAAGGGCCTACGTGAAAAGCAGCAATTCAACCTAGGGTGTCCCTTCCTATTTAGGGGCAAGAAGGAACCTAGCTGCACAGCTGGGCCTAAATTGTGAGGCTGCTCTAAATCTTCCTGAGTCTAGTTCACTGATGCTCGGTTTCTCTTGTCTTTTCCACCTGCCCCACACAGTCAAATCCTGTTCTAAAAGCTATAGGACAAATGACAAATGGGACCCCAAACTTAATTTATTTCAAGATAAGCATGGACACAATTTTTATGAGCTCTGTGGAAAGGGATTAACTGGAGGTAAAAGAAACCAGCCTTTAATTATGAGAAAAGTTATCTAAAGCCGACAACTATGCTGCATTAAAGAGTAAATTTCTGGGCTGTATCTCCTGCTCAGTTCTGTCCAGGGAAGACCACTGAAGTTCTCCAAACGTGGACTTCGGCTGTAGTACACCAGGTCTGGGCAGTTTCAGGGACAACATCCTGTCTAGTGCCAGGTATACAAGCAAACTTGAGGTCAGGCAGGTGGCCCTGCCAAGCAGACAGGGTACAGCTAAGGAAAGGCAATCTCTTTTCTCATTAACCAACAGGATAAAGGTGATTAAGCAGGAATTATTTTTCAATGACCTACATAATTTTATCAGGGCTGCTGTGACTATTAGCCAGGACAGGTGACTTGCTAATCAGATGAATTTGACAGCAGGACCCTTTCAGCGAAGCCAAAGAGTGGTTCTAGTTTATAGGGAAGCAACAGTTGGTATGCATTGTTTACTACCACTCCTCAAGGCTGTCTCTGCTCTGTGTGGGACTCTTTCCCTACTCAGGGAAATTTTCCCTGGACCTGGATGGCTGAGGCAGCAGCACCTGCTGAATGAGTGGAAGCCTCATCTGCTAAGAACGGATGGATTCAGGTGGGTGGGACAGAGCTGAGATAATTCATCAGATCTACTCACGTGATTCCCAAAGCCCCAAGCAAACACCTCACTCTGGCAGGGCTTGAAATAAGACAGCAACTAGTTCCATTCCCTAGCAGAAGTAAGGTTAACAAGGGAGCTTTGTTGAGGTCGGGGCGGGACACACACGGGGACAGACACACACACACACACACACACACACACACACACGCCATTAATAACAACCCCAACTTGAATGCAGCTTCACTAGAGAACTTATGATATTGAGCAACAGCCACCAAACAAGTCCTTTATACCAGTCAAGTGCTACAAACCTCAAAGCAGCACCGCCTGTCTCCTGTGTAAGCGAGGAAGTTTAGAGAGGAAAGCTGAACCCTGGCTCGCTTAGTCTTTGCCTGTTCCTCCCGTAGGACCCAGCACTACCCGCCCCAGGGACTAAGGAAAGGGGGTGGAAAGCCCCGATGCCATCGTCATCAAAACAAGCTTGCTCGCTCTCCCCCGGGGTCAGTCATCGAGTCACTCCGGGTCTCACAGCTCTGAGAGCCACCTCCTCCGGGCTGTGCCTCGGCCCCATGGAGCCTGTCTGGGATATTCCCATTGCTCCCCCACCCCCACCCCAATACCTGCTCCTCTGGGCCAGACGGGAGACTCAGGATAGGGACACTTCTGCTCTCCCTCCTCCCTTAACCCCCTAAAATAAAAGCATCCCTCAAGTGCAAACCTCACAGCAGCATGCCACGTACCTGTCTGCAGCCGCGGCTCCTCCTCTCCGCGAGGTTGAGGACTTGCGGGGCAAGTGTCCTAGGACAGTCCAGAAAGTTTGTGCCCCGATCCTGAGGATGCAAACCCGGAGCCACCAACGGCGCTGGGCACTGCGAGGAAAGGGAGCTGGCTCCTCGCCTGATACTTCGTAGGGTCTAACTGAATAGCAAGACCAGGAGAAGAAAGGAGGCTGAAGGTCTGATCGCAACTTTTTCCACGGATCAACAGCCTGTAGCTGAGCGGCGCGGGTCCCAGGTTCACCCCGGCACCCCCAGTCTCCCCACGCCCTTGGGGAAGGCTGGGCTGAGCCTGGGCGGGGCCCAACCTGCCGCTCAGGACTTGGAGCACTCGGGGCCCCGCCCCGGCCACCACCAGCCCCGCCCCTACCCCCCCAACTCTCCGCCGCCAGGTGTCCGTTTCCAAGGTGAAGGAGGAGGAGACTCGAAGAGAAAAAGTTTCCACTGAAACTTACACCGCACCGAAGGGAGGACACCTCGCCCTTGGGGCCCGCGGGCCGCTGGAACTATTGTACACCACTTCACACAAGCGCTCACACACCCCACCCCACCCCCAGCAAGAAAATAAGCCAAAGGCTCATTTCTTGGGTCCTGCAGAGCGGAGTAAGTCAGACAACTCCACGGGTCATGCACGTTTCAGACTTCTCACTTCCCAAAGGTTTGACCGCGGCTACCAGCGCTCTCTCTCCACTGCAATTTGTTCCCCCCCCCCCCCCCGCTGTGGTTTGAATTTTAAAATGCAAATAAAGAGAGCTGAGTCAAGGGATGGAAACATTCGCCGGTTATTTTACTATTATTCTACTGACAAGCTTCCTGAAGTGAGCAGGGGTAGATGAGCTCTCGGCCAACATTAATGCCGGGAGGAGAGCTGGGCCGTGTTTGCTGTTGTTTTGTTTTGTTTTTTTTAACGGGAGTCAGTGTTATCTGAGTTGTTTGTAAGAATGTGTGTGCGTGCCACATGTTCGCTGGCAATCCCCGTCCCCCTACCCCGCCCCCCCATCTCCAAAATGAATGCTCTTCAATTTGAAGGGTTCTACAGTAAAAAGGAAACTTCTCCAACTCAGGACTCTCCAGAAGACAGGAGTGCAGGTTCCAAAGTTATTTCCCCACCACTCTGGGTGTTGTGGTGGCCTTTGGCACTGCCCCTTGTCTCAACATCGGCCTGGCCCCTCGTTTGCCCGCTGCCCTTCACCAGATTTGGAGCTGCGCCCATTGCCGTGCTGGGTGGCACCGCCTCTGCTCCCCCTTTTCTCTGTCTCCCAGTCCCCCTGAGTGCTTGGGCTGCAAAGACAACGCTCTGCTTTCTGGACATAATCCAGGAGGAGGAACCAAGTTTTTGGTTAGAGGCCTTCTTGGTATTTTCAGGGCCCTGTGGTTGGTGTGGCTGAAACTTGAGGACAGCCACAATCTGGGCAAGTTGGGTCACAACACGTCTTGCAAAGACGGATGTGGCGATATTTCCACTACAGCAGCATCCTGCTGGCGCCTCACCAAATTCTCCTTTGGAGGAAGTATCTTCCTTATTTCATTCTCCATGAATGACATCCAGAGATAACCTAAAACAGGCATATGCAGTTTCAAATTCTCTCTTGCAATCATGGTAATGGGATGATGCACACTTCATACTTCTTTCTAAGGCTGTCTACCACCACTGCTGTGCTTGAGCTGGCAGCAGAAATGCACACTGCCCTTGGTGCCAGTGCTTCTCAGGGCTCGCCAGCCTTTCACCGATAACACATGCAGGCAAATGGCTCTTAAGGAAAAGCCAGAGAAGGACAAGGGAAACAGAAATGAGTGTAGAAGCCAGGAAGCTCGGCACAGCAGGTCACTTCGGCCACAATTGGAATGTGGAAGAATCATTCATTTATTCAACCAATATTGAGTTGAGTGCTGTATGCATGCTAGGCATTCTTCTAGGGGTTGGGGACACAGGAGAAAAAAACAAAAAAACAACCACAAAAATCCCCGCTCTCACGGAGCTTACCTTTTAGGTAGGAGAGACAGGTGATACATAAGGAAAATCTATGGACTGCCTTGCGTATGATTAGAATTGCTACGGAGAAAAATTAAGCAGGGAGGGGACATCAGGAATATGAGGGGGTGTTCTTTTACATAAGTTGATCAAGGAAAGCCCCTGGGGGAGGTGACGGTTGAGCAAAGGCCTGAAGGAGGTTAAGGAGTAAGACATCTGGGCAGACAACTTTCAAGACAGAAAACAAAGCAAGTACAAAAGCCCTGAGGCAGGAATATGTGTGCTAGGAACAACCTCGAGGCCAGGGTATCAGAGTGGAGAAGAGGAAGTCAGAGGTAGGGGTGACCCAGAGCCCCTGAGGATTTTACTCTGAGTGGGCTGGCAGTCACTAGAGGGCTTGGGGGAGAAAAATCACATCTTCTGACACATTGTAACAGTATCGCTTTGGCTGCTGGGTTGAGGATTGACGCTAGGGGCTAAGGGCTGAGGCAGAGACCAATTAGAAGGCTACTGAAATAATTCAGGCGCAAGAGGAGAGTGACTTGGCCCAGGGGAGGAGGTGACAAGCTGACAGGGATTCCTCACAGATTGGATGTGGAGTATGAAGGAAAGAAAACAGGATGACACTGAGGCTTTTGAAGGCCCGAGCAACTGGAAGGATGGAATTGCCGTAACAAAGACAGAGAAGACTTCGAAAGGAGCAGTTTGGGGGTAAAATCAAGAAGGCCAAAGGGAAGACAGGAAAGAAAGGACACATCATTAGAATGATCTTCGATTTCCTTACAAAATGAAGAAAATAGTACCTACTTCATTAAGGTTCTTTTAAGGACAACATGAATTAATGTAGTGAAGTGTCTGGCACAGGTCCTGATACGTGGCTGGCACTTAAGAATGTTAGTTCTCTCTGTACAAATATCAATTTCATACCTATCCATTATGCCCTCTGAGAGTGAAACAGTCATTGTTTTAGAGGAATAAGCCTTACTAAGAGTAAGAGGGAAAAGAAAACAGGAAAGGACGGACGTGAAATGAAAATGTAAACAATGAAGTGCTGCAAAGGTGCCTAATGGAATTTATCTGTGATAGTAGATGCTCCTAAGTCCTGCTCCCTCAAGGGGACAAACTAAAGTATCAGAGTTTGCTAGTTTGGGAAAAGAGTTTGAAATATCAATAGTTTGTAATAAAATGGAAAAAACCCACAACATGTGTAATAAGCAAAGAATATTGGTTGCTACTCCTTATAAAGAATTCTTGCAAATAAATAGACATAATAGAAAAATATTCCAAGGAGATGAACAGAGAATTCTAAAAAAATACAAATGGATAATATATTTATTTTAAAAGTCCAGCCATACTAAGTACAGCTAGAATGAGAGGCAATTATTTTTAGTTACAAATTTGGCAAGGATTAGAAAAAAATAATTAGGCCCCCTGTTGGATGTTAGACAATATCATACTATACTGAGGAACTGTAAATTACAATAATTTTTAGCAATTTATATCTAAATCTTTAAAATGTACATACTTTTCAAACCAGAAATTTTACTTCTAGGAAATTTTTTCTAATACTCAAATATTTGCTAAAAATTTATGTATAACAATGTCTGTTGCAGTGTCATTTAAATGTTGTGGCTAAGTTAAAATTAGTGTAAGTATCCATCAAGACAGAATTACGGTAAGCACTTGTCATGATATTATAGGCAAATAATTTTTTAAATGTTGTTGAATATCTATTAAATGGAAACATATTCACAATATATTACTGTAACAAAATAAGCCTACTACAAAACAGTAGGTAAAGTTCTCCTTAAAAATGTTATTATTGGCCAGCCGAATGACGCAGTGGTTAAGAGCTGGCTTGGGACGCCAGAGGTCCCTGGTTTGGATCCCACATATGAGGGCCAGTGACACTGCCCTCTACAGCTAAGATGCTGAACAACAGCTCAACCTGGAGCTGGGCTGCTGTGAGTCCACCACAAAGGCCTAGGCTGGCTGCAGTGGGTTGCCATGGGCTACCGTGTGTAGCCAGCAGCCAGTGTGAACGGCCAGCAGCCGCAGTGAGCGGCCGTCCAGAAGCCGGCGACTGATCTGTTCTCCTTCCCCCAATTCCCCAGCGCTGTTCCCATCCCCCAATTCCCCAATAAAAATCTTAAAAAAAAAAGTTATCTCCACACTTAGATGACAGTTTATTTTTATTCTCTTCTTTGTACTTTTCTCTATTTTCAAGTTTTTTACCATAAGTAACTATCATTATCTCTTAGGAATGAAATTTCTGGAGAGTAGGCTGCATATGTAATGAGTTGATACTGCCAAACAGTTTTTCAAAGTAGTTATACCGATTTACACTCCCATCGGCACTATATAAGAGTTCTAGTTTGGAGCAATGAATTTTTAACAACATGCATCCAGTAAATAGACATTGATTTTAACTCTACTGCTTGAAAAGTTAAAATAATTAAGCAAAAGTTAGAAATGAGCACATTGGTTGTGAATGCATATGTTAATAACATATCAGCCTTTTCTAAATTGTACTTTTCATTAATTTATCTCATTTATTTTTCCCATCTTTAGCTGTGTTATATGCAATATGTCCAAGCACTGAAATTAGATTTCTTTAATGCAGAAGCCAGAAAAGACTCCCTTCTCTTTTTCTTATCTCCTTTATTCCTACTTGTAGTCAGATTAAATCTAAATTTAAATTATCTCCTAAAGTTGCATCTCTTAAAAAGAATTCAGAAATGAACAATGTGTATCCTGTTAGAATATTAATCATCCTGTCAAGAAATTCTTCTAACAAATTAATAAAAACCCATTGCGTCTGAATGGTCTCATTTCCTATAAAAGTTATCCAGTGGTCAGGGTCTACTCTACTGAGGATGTAAGGCTTATTTATTAAAACTCTTCTCAAAGCCATCTGTCTTCTCCTTTAAAGTGAATGATTACAGCAAGTTAAGGGCCC